AAAAGAGAGCAATGACGCGCTTAATTCGGTTGTCTAAGACGCACGGCTGGCTAGGGCTTAGGAGGGAGTAAATAAGTATAATTGTTTTAACAATAGTGGGGTGTTAGGACACCCGTAAAGTTTAGGTATGTAAATGATTTTCCAGGACAAGTTGAATGGGGTCTTTATGAATTTTCTCAAATTAAAATAGTTGAACACTTTAACTTCGATGGTAGGAAATTACACTACTAAAAAATAGTTGTTTACCTACGCAGTAGTACCGACGGACTTTTTTCTGTCGCTATTCCGAGGGACTTTCCGCCGGAGTCCCTCGGTACTTTTGAAATTTTAGTTTCTAATTTTTTTTAAAAAAATAACTGACGGACAGCTCTCGATAAATAATGATACTTTGACCGATCAAAATTTAATTGGTAGTACCGATGCACTCCGTCGGTAATTTCGACGGACTCCATCAGAACATTTTATATTTATATTTTTGAATTGTTGTTTTAGGTACCGACGGTGTCTCTCGGTGCTTTTAAAAAAATGAAAAAGAAAATAAATTTATCGACGTACTCAATAGCTTTTGCATTTACATAATATTTTGAATTTTATTCTTACAATACCGTTGGACTTCCGTCGGTAATTTAAATATATAATCTTATACACAATTATTTTGTATTTTTTATTACACCATACCGAGGGAGGCCATCGGTAAGTCACTCGGTAAGTATTTACTTAATTATCTTAGTGGTCGATTAGCCTATTTATTGAAATTCACACTAAGTGGAGGTAATTATATTACTTAAAAATATATTTATGGTAATTAACTTAGTAATTTATAATTACACAAAGTAAAAGTGAATTTGTAGTATCCTTAACTACATTGATTAACCTATACATCAATAGTTACATACTAAGAAGTGTATTAGTCGTTTTTATAAGAAATATTAGTGATGGTTTATCTTATAAATTGATAATTTCTGTAAGTAGAAGTGTATTAACAGTGTCCTTAAGTAACGTTAACAATTGATTATCATACACATTGATAATATACTAAGTAAATGTGTATTGGTTGTATTTAGCTTGTAGATTGATAATTACACGAAGTATAAGTGTATTAATAATATATTTGTAAGTATTGTTAGTGATTGATTGGCCTGTATACATTGATAATAGCACTAAGTATTAGTGAACTAGTGGCATCCTTATATAAATAATGTTAGTGATTGATTAGCATATACATTGATAATTATACACTAAATGGAAGTGTATTAATGCTATTTGTGAGAAATGTTAGTGATTGTTTTTCTCTAAATTGATAATTAAAGTAAGTAGAGATTTATTAGTGGTATCGTTAAGTAATGTTAATAATTGATTAGCCTATATATTGATAGTTACACTAAGCAGCAGTGTAATAGTTATAATTAGCTTATAGATTGATAATTACATTAAGTAAAAGTGTACTAAGAATATATCCTTAAGTAATGTTAGTGATGCACTAGCCTATACATTGATAATTATACACTAGGTAGAAGTTTATTAAGAGTATAGACAAATATTGGTGATTGTTTAATTATCTCAAATTGACAACTAAAGTAAGTAAAATTATATTAGCAATATCGTTAATTAATATTAATAATTTATTAGATAATTAATTAATGATTACATTAAGTAAGAAGCGTAATAGTTACAATTATACCAGATTTACCGAGGGACAAACCGATAGAGTCCGTCGGAAAAATTATTCATTTGTCAATCCAGTGTTCTTACTTACCGAGGGAGTCCATCGGTAGACTTAAACCAAATTTTCAAATTTTGTTGAACATACCGACGGATATCCATCGGAATATGAATTTCTTCATATATTTAATTTTTAAATTACTAAATTAAAATTCTAAATATACCGATGTTATCTGTCGGTAATATAAATTATTATTTTTAATTTACCAACAGATATCCGTCGGTATTGATATTATTGATATTATATTATTTTATAATATACTGACGTATATCCGTCGGTAAGTAAAATTATTTGACCGAATAGTACTGTCAGAAAAGTATCGATGGATTTTCGATGGGGTCCATCGCTAATTATCGAGGGATTCTGTCGGTTTATTTTACCGAGAAAAGATTTACCTACGTACCATTTACCGACAGACTTCCTTCGATAAAGCCTTGTTACCGAGGGACGTGCGTCGGTAAACAGGTGATTTTTAGTAGTGAAATAGCTGCTTGTGTGTTAAGTTGCCCACGTCAGTGGAGGATGGTTTAATCCAGAAGTTGAAAATGACTAAAGATTGTTATTCTGAGAAACTTTCTTCAACAAATTAAGGTTTTTCCATTTGGGTCTGGTAATTTGAGGGAAATTTGGATTCCCTAATAAAATCCGCAGAAGAAGTATCCCAGAAAGCTCAATTAAGATCTGATATATCTTCAAACTTAGGTGTCAATGGAGGATGGTTTAACCCATTAACAAGATTGAAGTCAACTAAAGTGGGTCTAAGTGTTTAGGACCAGCCATGACAGATTTGAATTTTTTAAACAAGGAAGAAGATAACCCAATTTAATTTTTGTAAAAACTAAAAAAACAAATTGACATATACACAAAAATTCTCCTGTTCACACACTTCAGTTGTTGGAAAAAACACGCACTAGCCACGTGGACAAAATGGTGTGTATTAGACACTCTGAAAAGGTTGAGTGTTAAAATAATTTTCGTTCGCAAAAAATATGTAACAGAGATTTAATCCATAGTTTAGGGAGTAATTTATGTATTTTGCCTTCAAATAACTGTGGTCACATTACATGGAAAAATGTTAGTTGGATAGCTACCATAAAGGGAGCTAAAAAGTTGGTTTCCTATTTATTTTGGAGGTGAATAAATTTTCTCTGGTTAAAATATTCTGAGGTTTTTCAAATATTTCTAATTATGAGTTTTCTTAAGCAGTAGTACTTTGTATAGTTATAGGTTCAATTTTTTTTTTCCAGTATAACTATATCAGCATCCATACCCAAAAAAAAAAAACAAGGCTTTTTTGTTATTGTACTCCGATCGCTTCTCTGATGAAAAGAGTACTTCATAAATTATTTGCTATTTTTGTGAAGTGACGATCTAATGTATCGTGGCTGACTTCATTGGCCACCGAATGGGAGAAATTCAAAAATAGCCAGATTTATAAGGTCGTTCAAAAATAGCTCAGTTTCAAAAGTAACCGAAATCTAGTCACTTTTCATGTAAAGATAAATCTGAGTGGAAATACTGTTCAAAACTTGAAAAATACGCCAGTATATTATGCTGGAGTTCCAGCATAATTATACTTGAACTCCAGCATATTATACTGGAGTTCCAGGATAAGTATGCTGGAACTCCAGCATAATATGATGGAGTTCCAGCATAAGTACACTAGAACTTCAGCATAATATACTGGAGTTCCAGCAAAGTATACCGGTCCAGTATAATATGCTGGAAGTTCATACACAAGTGCTCGAATCTCCAGTATATTATGCTGGAACTTTCCGTGTGTTGGAGTTCCAGCATAATATGCTGGAAGTTCATACACAGGTGCACCAAACTCCAATATATTATGCTGGACCGGTCTCTGTTACAGCAAAATAGTGGCTATTTTCATTGACTTGGTAAACGCTGGCTATTTTTGAATGGCCAATCCGAAAACTGGCTAGACTGTGCTATTTTTACTAATTATAACAACTCCAAAATACAAATTATATTGATGGTAGTGTCTAACTATTACAACTCAACAAAGTAGAGCAACGGTAATGGAAATACAAAAGTGCAGAAGCTAAGTAAGATAGAATAGAACCAAAGAAGGGGATGAAAATCTAGACTTAGAATTGGGGAGGAGAGGATTATACATTTCTCTCAACAGTATTCGCTTAACCCCAAATCACGGACCATTGTCCCTTATAATAGAACCATTCTTACGCCTATTACTCAACCTAGATACCAAATTAACTTAGCCCTACTGCTTGTACTCGGCCCAATAGTTCTTTTCACCCCAATAGCTACTTGTGTGAGATTGGGCTGGTACCGGTTCATAACAGAATGGTGTCACAAAATCTGGGTAGTCGTGAATTATAGCTTTTGGTCGATTGGAAACAGTCTCTCTACCTTTATAAGGTAGGAGCAAGGTCTGTGTACACATTACCCTCCCTAAACCCCACTTGTGGGATTTCACTGGGTTTGTTGTTGTTGTCGTCGTAAATTACAGCTTTAATCAACTCATGGCCATTGAGTCTATAGTTATTTAATTTATTCTAAAATGATAATTTGTATTGAGTGTGAGGTAATGAAACCCCCACTTCTTACAAAAAGAATTGAAATTGTGTTTAACAGAATAGTTAAAACTGCATCCTTTCCCTGTAAAGCACTTCTAGTTGTCCCTTCTGCATTTCTGCGTCCATTATTTTGCCCGTGAGATTGGATGAAACAGGATAATCAGCAATGCAACGGCAAATATAATTTGAAAAAAATCAAATTTCCGACACTTCTCACTTTTTCAAATTGTTCAGCATTTTGATATCATTTATGTTGTAGAGTTTACTTCTTGTACATTGGTAATATTATTTCACGCAAGCACACTTGTTTAAGAATGTAACCAACTTATTTAATTTTTAATTAAGGAAGTTAAATAGGAGTCAAACTAACTTTTATGTTAATCTGCCCCAGCACATTCTGGTTGTTAGCTTCTTCGCATTCTTCTCTCATCTTTCAATCTGCAGTTCAAAAGCTAGATGGAAGGCAGATAAAAAACGCAATCAAATGAGCATAACTGAGTGTTGGTTGTATGATGGAAACATTTTGCTGGAAAATATTTTCAAGATCAAGTCATTATATGGTATTTGTTTGTCGGAAAATATTACAAGAGGACAAATGATTTCACTTGCGAGCAAAATCATTTTCCTTTACAAATTATTGGAACTATTACTTCATATTACTTGCTTCATCCAACATTAAGACATTCCAGCTGTAATACTCAACTATTATCAAAAGACTGTAGTAAACAAAATTTAGACTCATCATTTGACAAACTACCCTGTGAAAAATTGAACCAAGTTCAAACAAGCCAAGCTTCCCTGCTCAGAGATTGAGGTTTCTATATATTATATGTGTACATCATTATCGACCCAAATGGTCATGAAGCAGAATAGCACGCATAACAAGCGTAAGCAAGCTGGTTAGTTATCGATCAAAACTTCGGAGGACTTGTTTATACTCAGTCTAACCATTAACTAATTTAAGGTGAGGTCAGTAAATTAATGTATGGTATAATGATATGTACACCTCAAATGCCCCACTTTCCGACCAATATAAGTCATTATTCTCATCGGCTGAGACATTACTAATTAATCTGAATGCGTAATAAGAGTTGATGGATAGAACCAAAAGAATCAACCACTTCAAGTTTTGATGACACGGCCCCTGTATTGCCCTCTACGGACCACAAAGTCATCGGGGGGTTGAACTTCTTCCAACCAAGTCACATCTGAGAATGTCACTCCATCCACCTCAAGCTCACCTTAATAAGGTGTAAAAGTACTTTAGCTTTTTAACAATTGAATTTCATATCACATCTATCTGCGCAAAACTTCTCACAGTGCAATTACCTGGTAGATCTCCTATGGGAGACCTTCGAAAATAAGTGCAATGTCGTCCATCCTCGGAAGAGTAAGGTGGAGAAAGGATGTCAAAAATAGCACATGGACTTATGGCTTTGAAACAATGGATGTTGCCTCCAGATGTAGGATACAGAACAGTTGTCCCACACGGAGCTGTCATGTCACAGTCTTTAACAAGCTTTGCCGGTCTAGTACCTGCGCGGGCTTAGCAATAGAAGATAGCAAACACCGATGTGTGTGTATGCATGTACAACTGTATATGAATTCAAGAGGGTCGAGAAGAAGTAGCAGTAAAATCCTTACTAAAATCCTCTAATAATACCCCCGGATAAAATATTAATGAAGAAAAAAGAAAAAACTAAGCTCATAAAAGTGACTCCTTCCAGTTGTGATATAAAAAAATTGCTAGTATCTCTCTAGTCATAAATCTTTCGTCACCCAGTTGTAGTCAACTATCTACGAGTAATATAGTTACATCATACATGCACAACATTCTCACATTTTGCCTTCCCGCTGAAGTATCGGATACAAAATTCTGCATAAGATGTAACTTGAACCTTGACTTTGCAAGTCTACTCAACTTAATATAGTGATTATTGGTACAAGCAAAAGCACAACTACATGATTCTGGTTGAATTCTTGGAAGAGGAGTTTCATTAGGCAAAAATATGCATGTCATGAAACAAATACATGATACCGAGTTATCTTACTCAAACTAAAACAGAAGAGATCTACGGATAACAGTAAAGGCCCGTCAACCCAAGCCAACATAACCAGAACAAGAGAGAACCTGCTACCTAATTAGAGATAACTTAGGAGAAAACAAGCACTAGTGAGGCCTCAAATTAATGGCACACCAAAAACATCTCATGCAAAAACCCTACGTTCTGCAATGAAGTATAATTATACATCCACCAAAATATATCCTGGACATCTACTTAAATAGTACGCACCTTCCGTTGGAACCGAAGGACCTGGAATATCAATCCAATCATAGGCTTTCACGTGAAAGGAACCATATACCAGCTTACTTAAGACGGTCATCCCAGGGTGGTTGTGTAAAGGTATGATAGAGGAAGGTGGCATGCAAAATATCCCCATCTGTGAAAACATCAAAGAGGATAATAACAAATTCAACAATGCAGCTTGCATATCTCTACTATCGGATATTATTCATCCATATTCTCCAAATATAAGCACTCCTCTGCCCCCCACCCCATACACACACAAAAAAATAAAGTATAAAACCATTATGCAACACTTACAGAGAAGCTGTCACATTCATGTATGTGCAGGTATTTGATTGGTGGGGGTGACCGTATTCCTCCATTGCGATCATGCAGAGTACCATTCCAACTCCGCACAAGTTGTGCTTCCTGCTCAAGACCCACATCAGAAGGCTTGATTTTGTCTGAAGCAAAATGAATAGCCGAATGTAAGTAATGTAAGTCATTTCTGGAAGCATAGGCCAAAATGAGCCTGAAATTCACGGGAAGGCCAATAATCACAATATTGACATTTCAACTCATGGCCAAATAAAGTTATTGTAAGTGAGATTTTGGAGACTAAGGAAGAGATCCGGAATCATATTAGTGGGAAGAAATCGCCCAGTGTTTTTTGTCTATGCTGGGATTTGAACTGATGCCCTTGGGTGACAATGGTTACACTCATCCCTCAAGCATGTTTAGATTCTAGCGATATTATTCAGATACTCCATTAGTCGCAATCCACCAATGGCGAATGAGAAGGATTGAATGTGGTTTCTTCACATAAATCTATTAAAACATATTGAAAGCTGCTTAAAGTTCAGCATCAAATATACATATGATTGATAGTCTCAGTTACCTATCTCAAAAAAAAATATACATATAGTTGGCAGTCATTCCCTTGGTCCATACTTTGAAGAAATTAAAGAGAGAAAATATGTATTGAAATCAAAATATATACTGAAGAGTTGGTGATCATGGAATACAAATACAGCTATTTATAGGTGTGAGATACAATTCAATCCTCCAATTAACCATTGAGGGACTAACTTCATACATCAACACTACTCTGACAGCTTTTAGCACCAAGACTTAACATCTTAAAGACAAATAACATATGTTTTTAACCTACCTATATACCAATTTTGCCACCTTTGATACTCTAATAGTGAAGCGCACCAATCCCCTTCCTTTCCACTTTCAAGTCCCTCTGGTCTTAAATACATCCATTATTCCTGCACCTCATTAGTTTCATCACATAAGCTCTATCTCCCCACCTGCCAATCTACTCTCGCCAATGTGGCAAACTGAGTAATGCTTGCATAATTGTGATGTATTAAAGATGCTACTGCATTCATATTGCTGAAACAAAATATTTGAAAATCCCCTGTAATCAAGAAGCCTACTACTCCAACTAGAGCTACATTTATTAACTGGCTGAGAGCCTAGAAATTCTAAGGTGAGGTTCAGAGCAGCACAGTCGAATACAAACTTGTAAATCAGAGTAATCAAAGATGAAAAGTGCACAAAAGCGCCAAGGACAAGAGGAGTTTTATTTGCAAAGTGCAATTGAAGTGTGAGCTCACAAATAAAGGGGTTAATGAAGAAAAAATTGTATATTTTCATTATGTATTTATGCAGGTATAATGCAAGAACTTATAATTATAAGCACAAGAAGTAATAATTTTGAAGAAAATAAGGAATTGAAAAACCCATAATTAAATGAATCATATGAAGTAAAAATCATGAGTAATTAAGTTCCAAAGTTATTTTAAAACTCCTGAGTTAGATGTAATGATACAATTTTTCACCAGCTTTCTTATATTAAGTATCAATTTTTTCCCCAATAAGTAAAAGACTCATTTATCAAATTTTCTTAACAATTAATTTCACTTTGCAAACTGTATTTATTGTTTGTACTGCGTTGTTAAAGACAAAAACTATCAGCAATGAGGTGCATGCACTAAGGTACCACTTAGGGAAGGGAAGTGCTCAACCAGATCTTCACCCAGCTTCAGGGCTTACGCACACTCAAACAAGCCTTAAAGAACATTGTTATAATTAGAATCTATGAGAAGAATTTAAAGTAATCGTGAATGAACATTGTTGAGAAAAAATTTATGATTTTACGAATAGATGTCTTATTATTCTTGAGCAAGGAATGATGGTGTTTTTGAGAGCGAGAAGAGCAAAAAAGCGACAGTGGCTCGCCTCGCTTCAAAATCGAAGCGCACGCTTCATTGAAGTGAAGCGCAATTCTTAAAAAACATAATGTAAACCTTGCAAACACACAATATAAATAATGAAAAAGTTCAATTTAAAAACTTAAAAGTAGGTACCACTACCACCAATTCCTCCATAAACCATAGGACAAGCAAAATCACATAAAAATTAACTTTATAAACTGAAATACACATAAAAATTAATAAATAAAGGCTAAAATACTAATCAAATAAACTGAAATATAATATATATATATATATACAATAATTAACTTTATAAAGTGAAATACACATACAAATTAATTAATAAAGGCTAAAATACTAAATAAGTAGGGGAAAAAAAGGAGAACAAAAATTTCGCACCTGCCCTAGCTATGAGCAGGTGCCTGGACGGGAACAAGATGAAGAAAGAAGAAAGAAAAAAAGGAGAAGAAGAAGAAGAAAGAAGAAAAATTACCTGGAGCTTCTCTGTTGAAGTCTTGAACCCTAGCAACAATTGATTTTGAGAGAAATGGTCTTTACTTAGGTTAGGGGTCTGTTTTGTATAATAAAAAAACAGACCCAAACTTTTTTTTAAAAAAAAACTGAACCAAACTTTTTTTCTTCTTAAAACTGACCCCTCCACCACAAAAGCGAGCGCTTTGTCGCTTCTCGCTTCGCGATAGTTTCACGCTTCTTCTACTGAAGCGAGCGCTTCGTGTGGTCGCCTCGCGTCAGGCATGGCAAAGCGACAAGGCATGTCGCTTCTCGCTTAAAGCGATCGCTTTGTCGCTTTTTAAAACACTGACACTAGTCATATCTGTGAAACCTTGCACTCTCCCCATTCGATGCTTCATGGGTGACACCAGAGGCTATCACAAATGGAGGCTACAGATGATCTGCAAGAAGGACAAGGAAATTTGGAGGATCACATCACTACTCATACTCTTTGCATATTTGGATAGAGAGGAATTCCAAGCCTCTTTTGTCAATCCGGGACAATAGGAGTGCATTACAGGTAGAATCCTCCTACCTAAGAAATGGAAGGGGGCAGGGATATTCTAGAACTGTAGAGCTGTGAGTCGCAACCTACAGAATAAGATGCCAATGAGTTCAAAAATAAAAAAATTCTTTGTTCGTCATTTTTCTCATTCTACATCACTGAAACTGTGTCTTCAATTTCAGTAGTAGAAAAAAAAGGACTTGGCTCCTAAGCTATTTGTAGAGCCCAATTCCCACTTTCTTTTTCTTCTTTTTTTCCTTCTTTTTTTTATCAGTAAGCCCAATCTCCTATTCTGGATAACCAAACCTTAGGAAGAGCCACAAACAGCACCATTATCATGACCTCAATTCAGTAAGAATTGTAATTAGTTCACCCAATGTTGAACAGCACCCACAATCAGCCCTTTGTTTCCTTCTGTCCGTGTTTCTTTTCTCTAAATCATCCACCAGCCTAGTCCATACCGAAACTCTTCCTACGCATCCAGGAAGATTACCTTCTCCCAGACAACTTCCCTTCAAAAGCAATATGTACTTTTCAAAAATCAGATTTTCATGCTATGACCACCAAGACTCTCCTTCATCACAGGTTTAGACGGAGGTACGAATTGATATATCATGTCTGTCCTAAGTGGTAAACATAACAGCCTGAATCTAAAAACTCGATTGACAATGAAAAATGAGTAACACTATCACACAAAAAAAGATGAAATTAACAAAGATTTTAAAGAAAGGGCAGGTAAGGTGTATTTTTGTCTAATGTATCGAAAAAGCACATTAAAGTTATTAACCTCATAACATGCAGAGCCAACAAAAAGCCCTAGCACAATTGCGTTTTCAGATCTCCTAAACAAATGGTCATTGATTTCAAAAGATGATATCAGCTTTTGAACATGAGATATAGCAACAACAACAGCCAGTGTAATCTCACAAGTGGGGTCTGGGGAAACATGAGATATAGATTTGCTTATTAATATTCTTGAGTGGTATAAATTCTCATGCCTACTTTTACAACCTAATATTACTAATGCCTTAATAACATAAACAGGTTCGAGCCGTGAAAGCAGCCACAAATGCTTGCATTAGCGTAGGTTGTCTACATCACACCTCTTGGAATAGGCCCTTCCCGGACCCTGCGTGAACACGGGATGCCTTGTGCACCGGGCTGCCCTATTTTTGTTGTTGCATCTATCAAAACTAAGTTACATTCAAGAGCAGCTATAGCGTCCAATCTCAAAATTGCCAAAAAGATAGTCACTCAAATAGGTTTAGGAGATTCTCAGTGAACATAAAATGATAGATTAAACTTTACCAGATGATTTTCCAGTAAACTATTTTTTATCACACCTAGAAGTAACTTGACTAAAGAAATTAGAAGACAAATAAAATAACCATTTAAACCGCAAGGTGATTGGAATTCTATAAATACATATGACGATGTTTAAGTAAATATTACACAGATTAATTAACATAAACACATACCCAGTAGGGAACAGACTTTCTCGAGAGCATCTTCTGAAACCGGTCCATTAGGCGAAAGTGATGCTTTACAAGCGTTATAAAGCTTTTGTACAGCTGGCATGTTCCGCAAATCGAGAATCGTTATACCCACCGCCTATACAACAAAACTTATCTTGCTGTGGCTAAAAGCTTCGAACTAACCCAAAAATTTTCCAGCCTGAAGGGTCCTCTATTCCCCGAAGACCCCTCAAGAACAACCTTTCAAGCAGAAGAACCTTCAATAACACAACAGGGCACAAACTGGACTGTACGATGCAAACCAAACCGATGATTATACATCCATGTGTTGCTTAACTGATACAGTTCGACACTCTATTATCAGTGCCACCTAGCGAACAGAAGAAATTACCATTAAGCTCGATAATTCTGATCCACATAAAATTCAGCAAGAGTAAATAGAATATGGAAAGAAGAATTATTCAGTGTCATATTTTCGTTTGCAAAGCCCTAATCCCAACCAGACTAGTTACAACATGCAAAAAATTCCCTTATAAGCTAAAAAGCAAGTCTAATTAAAACCGAGGTGCGCTAGCTACTGTACTCTTCACCAGCAACGAAATCTGGATATGAAATTTATCGGAAATTGAAGACACAAATTTATAAATTAAATTAAAATAGAAGAAAGCTTGAAACAAAAAGAATTGAAGTAAGTTTATTGCGAGTGAAAATCGATGTGTGTTCAGTAGATGAGTAATTTAATTGGAAAAAATTTATATCAAATTATGTGCAACAATCAAAATGAAAATAGTATGAGAAAAATTACAATTGAACTGAAAAACTCAATAATTGGACATGAAGACACATAAATAGAAGCATATAAACGTATATAAATCAGTAATTACCAGGTTTAAAAAAAGAAATAAGAAAGAATTATTGATAAGGATTGTGAGTGAAGAGGAGCAAGACAGTGTACAGGATCATACCGTGGGCAGGAGCACAGAGAGTCGAGAATGAAGGAGGAGGAGGAGGATTGAGTTTGCGTAAGAATTGTTTTCTGGGCGTTGGGGGGATTCGGGGCTCCGATATGGGTGATGGGTCGGTGTTCTGGTTATGGACTTATGGTGCTGACCCAGTTTGACCGCTAACTGACCTCGGCTTCCGGTAGAATAACAGAAATGCCATTGTTATTCTCCATTTTCATTTATTTACTCAAATAAAAATAGAAAACATGTTCTTGACGAGAAAGAAAGAAAAAAAGATAAAATAGATTTCATAACAAAAAAAAGAAAGAAAAAGTGGGGGAAAAAAGGTACTTGATTCATGTACCTATTTGATTCATGCATCATTTGCTAGTCTTAGCAATTTATTGATCATTCATGATATAGCACGTCAAATATGGAATCAAAGTGAAACTAAGTGATTACCTAATTGATTCATGCACCTTTTGAAAGCATATTTAGTTCAAGTAGATGGAGAACCTGGGTAAAAGGTTACTAGGTAGTCGTTTGTTTTCCTTGTTCATACTAGTAGTATTAGGGTTAGTTTTGTACTTTTCTAAAAAAATTTATTTTTATTATTACCTGTCATTTCTTTCGCTTTGATTTCTTGTTATTTTGCTGATGCTATTGCTTGTTGCTACTACTTCTTTTAGCATTACCTTTTTAAGGTAGAGATAAATTAAAGTATGCATGTACTTTACCTTCCGCGGACTTCATTTGTAAGATTACACCGAATTTGTTATTATTTTATTAGTGCATGAGACTATTTAATGTTTCGAAGCAGAAATAATGAGAAGAAAAAAACTGTACATACCTCGATTTTCTATCCAAAATGCTGGGGATGTTTGCTGTCCTATATGCCAAAAAAGCTAAAGTTTGAACTCTAATCTTTATTTGTCAATTAATTAAATCCGTGTTCGAAAAATTAAGTACATTGATGTTTGGCTATAATTCCGTATTTTTAGTGTATTACTTATCATACATTTTAGGTACTTTAATGCTAAACTATAATATATTCATACTTAATTGCGCCTATTTATGTGTAGGTATTTTGAAAATGAAATTGAGACCAAACTAAAGATTATATGTATATTTTATACACTACAAAAATGGTTCATGATTATTTAAGAATTGGACAATGATTGAAGTTTAGTATTCTAAAAGATTACAAAAGAAAACAAAAGCCAATTACAAAAGAAGACAATAAAACGTGAAAATGGGAAATAGGGCAAAGCAACTCAAAAGTGAAGCAGAAAGCAGCAGGTCAGGGGCGGCCCGACGAATTTTGTGGCCTAAAGTCAAATTTTACGAGGGACCTTAATTTTTTTAAATTATTATTTTCTTAATTTGAAGTTCGTTTTTCTAATTTTTTTTAGATGCAAAGTTATTAATAATTTTTTTATAATCAATTTTTTTCTAATAATTCTTTCTCAATTGACAATATAGTTAATCCATTTAAACTCTCTTCAGACATTATTGAGATTAGCTAAGATTTTATCAATTTTAATTTTAAAAAACTTCTTTTTGCTAAAGTAACGGTAACAGGAGTTATTAACATTATTATATAAGCAATATAGGCATTTGGAAAAGAATCAAATCATTTTATTTAATTGAGTATATCAATTAAACTGTTATCTTCTAGTTGTATTATTTTTCTTAACATTTTTAATTTAGAAAATAAATCTAAACCGTCAATATCAGATTGATTGTTATGCTTCAAGGAACACTCAAGATTAAGGCAGTATTTTTCTAAATTTTCATCATCTAGTGATCTCAGTTTTTTACGCTAAATAGAAAACAAAAAATATTTTCATATGCTTTGAATTGTTCAAATTTATTTTTGAAGTGGAAAAAATAGTCTTGTCTACAAGTTTTAAAAGTCTTTTTTTTCTTAAAGTTCGTGGCGAGTCAAACAAACCTCATCTAAATTGAAACATATGGAGTATATAATATATTAGGTGTAACAAAATAATGGGGCCCCCACAAATGTGGGGCCTAAAGCAGTTGTTTTACCCGCTTTAGGGTAGGGCCGCCCCTGCAGCAGGCGACGCGAAGGGTAAAGCTCGCGTTAGAGCAGGCGTCGCGAGGTTTCGCGTGTTCCGAGTTCCAGGCCTATTTTGTCTCCTACTTGGTTTTGGACTTGGTTATTTCGTCTAAGTCTTGGCCCTACATATATAAATAATCATTAAACACCAATTTTGGAAAAAAGAGACGGAGATTGGACATATTTGAGAGGGGATTCGACCCAAGGAGGCAAGAACACACTAGGAGCAAGGCGGAGAATTCTTCTACGAGTTTTTCACTTCCTTCTTCCTATTTCTATTATTGGTTATGAATTCTAGTATTGTAGTTATGCATACCGTTATGAATAGCTAATTTGTTATCTAGAGTTTTGATGGAACCTTTTGTAGGATAAATTCTTGTTATGTTTTTATATAATTGACCCATTGGATTTCTCTATTTGTTCAACTATGTTTATATTGTGGTTGGTTGAAGAGCTCTTAATCGACCGTGCCTATTTAGTGTGTACTACTCGGAAGAGAGTGCATATATTAGGTAGTTGTTGAACAACATCACTCCTAACGTATATGGGGGATCAATACGAAGGGTTTAAAGGTGGATTAGGAATAACGAAACCTTGATGCGATCCGAGTGAGCCGTAACTTAGTGCCAACTAGCGTAATTCGAAAGAATATGTCTAGTAAATTGTGGTAGTTACTCGGGAGAGAATTACGACACTCAGAGAGCTCATGATCGGTAGAGAAAACTTAGGCAAATTTATAAAAAAAAACGTAGCGGAAAGGATTCTGACAATAGGGGAAATCATAACTCTAGACCTCCTTAATCTTGTCTCCAATCCTTATCCTTGTTAATTGATAGTTTTACTGCTTTCTAGTATTTGTTAGTTAATTAGATAAAAATATTATAATTTTTATAATTAGGAAATTGTTTGGATTTGTGTTTCTTAGCGATATTGAACAACTGTAGCTAAGCCTTAGTTCTCTTTGGGATTCGACTCCGGACTTATAAACCGAATTATATTTGCAACGATCGCTTAGTCCTTTTTATAAGGCATAGTTGGGCATGATCATGCATGCTATTTTTTTGCATTTCACCTACTTTTACCTCAATTCTCATATCAAGTTGAGCGCAAATGCAAATCAAAGGATATAGTAATTATAAGTAACTGTTAGGCCTATTTTAGTAGTAGTATTATATGGAAAGGCAGTTGCTTTTTTTTTTTTGTTGAGACAGGGATCTTATTCAAATAATAATAGTAGTGTTCATACAGTCATAATCACCCGATAGGGTATTTACTACTTGGCTATTACAAACTATGTCACGTAGGACATTTTTGTTTTCAAAATGAGCAAGTCTATAGCAAACATCCTTGCTTAGTTTCTTGGTAACATAAGTTATGCCTTCCACATCAGATTGTAGTACTTCATTAACAAAAAGGGGTGGGTAATATAGAATGGTAAGATCCCTGCATTTGACATTACTGAGTGCTTCTCTAGCCATCCTGTGCGCCAGTTTGTTGCCCTCCCTGAAGGTGTGGCTGATTGTTTGAACTTTCAGCTGCATTATTAGCGACCTGCACTCGAAAATGATATCATTAAGAAAAGGCATCCCATTTTCCAAACAGTTTATAGCATCTGTCGAATCCATTTTGACTTCTATGTTTGATAGACCCTGCATTCTGGCTACATAAAGGCCTTGTTTCAAAGCCAGCAGCTCAGCGTGAACCGATGAAAAACATGGAACGACTTCCTGGAATCCGACTAACCAATGTCCATTATTATTTCTAATGACACCACCTATACCACATAGAGAGTTTTTTAGAATAAAGGAGCCATCCGTATTAAGCTTCAAAGAATTCCCACGTGGCTTGTTCCAGACAACATTAATATCAATAGGTTTATAAAAAACTTTTTCATTGTTGGTTAATAGCTTATACTACACTGCTTGACTTATAGCATGACTGAGGCTAGGTTTATAGGATAAATTGTTAAAGAGATTATTATTCCTAATAATCCAGATATACCATATAACAAAGGGGAAGAGTTTTGTCCAGTTAATAAACCAAGCGAGGTTAGTAAGACAAACTAAATTTTTACTTTTTGCCTTTCTAATGCCTGGCCCTCCATCTTTCTTGGGTCTTGTAATAGCATCCCAATTGATGAGGTGTAATTTCTTATCTTTAACACTTGATCCCCAAATAAAGTTCCTCTGAATCTTATCAATCGTGCTAAGAGTTTTACTAGGTAACAAAGTATAATGCATAACATGGCTAGGCATAGAGTTCAAGCAGGAGTTTGCTAACACAGTTCGGCCTGCCATGTTCAAGTAATTTGCTTTCCAGGTTCCTAGTCTAGCCACCATATTATCAATCACAAATTGAAAATCCTTAGCTCTAGGCTTTGCATTTGTTATAGGAAAACCTAGGTATTTCCCAAAGACGAAACTTGAACGAATATTAAAAGTATTCTCCAGTTTGGTCACTATGTGAGAAGGACACTTTTTTGAAATAATAATTTTGGACTTAGAATTATTAATAGATTGACCAGATAACTTACAAAAAAGGTCTAAACAAAGTTTAATAGAACCAATGGATTTTTCATCAATTTTGGCCAATAAGGTGAGATCATCAGCATAGAAAAGGTGGGACAATTGTAGATTCCTACTGCCAATTTTAATTGGACTCCAAACTCCTATGTCTACCTTGTGGTTTATGAGGCAAGAGAGCATTTTCATACAAAGGATGAAAATATAAGGAGACATTGGATCTCCCTGTCTTATGCCCCTACTAGGTTCAAAGTACAGAGTTCTATTCTCATTCACTAAGATGGAAATTTTTGAAGTAGTAATGCAGTTCATTTTTAGCATCAACTCCTGGATAATAATAGCATTGTCACAAGCTTTCCTGTTTTTAAGAAAACTGGTTTGGTGAGGACTAATAAGACTGTCCAAAAAAGGCTTGAGGCGATTGCTAATGACCTTTGTAATAATTTTGTAAATGCAATTATATTTCAAAATAATAACTACAGTTAACTACAACTATCTACAAAAAAGAAGGAACAAAGAACCAGTTTAAGCTAGCGTTTGGACATAGATTTGGTTAAAACCTGAAAATAGAGTTTTTGAAGTTGTGTCAAAAAATAATTTTTGAAAGTTAAGCTGTGTTTGGACATATATTTTATTTGAAAAAAAGTTGATG